ATGTTTATAACGTTGTTTTTAAGATTTAAAATTATAGGAAATAAGGATAATAGAACCATTAATTAAAGCCGGAATTTAAAACTGATATCTACAGAAATAAGTCTCAGTACTTTGTATTACAAATACTACAAATACTGTGACTTCATACTTTGCGAATAGTATTGAAACAGTAGTTAAATTGTGGAAATATGGATAGGCGGGACATATATAACAAGAAGGCAGTGACAAATAGTTCAGTATGAAAAGTTAGATGAACTTGGTAGACTTTGGCGTAGAAGTGAAAAAATACCAAGTTCATCTTTAGAGAATCTGTGATATTTTAGACTGACCACGATGGAGTCAAATCACGATTTCATGTGAAAAAGTTTCGAAACCACACACATTCATTTATGGCGGGAGATTATTTTTTTTAAACCTGTGATACACATTTTGGAAGGGGGCTTTGAAAATTGGAGTCATAGAAAAGAAATGATTTCTGTTAGATGACACAGAATTGTTTTCAACATGGAAAACCTAAAGTACAATGTAACAACATATGGAAACATAGGATATTTTTTTAAATGGGAAGGAATTAGGATAATACATAAAGTTCACCCTCCAATGTCTCTGTCCGTGACAGAGTAGGGAGAAATTAAGGAGCTAAGAACTATAAACCACGTTAAGACTGAAATCCATTACCTATTTCTCGAAGTCACTTACAATGAATGACTCATTCTTGGGGTATGTAACAATTATGCTCTAACTGCAGATGTTATTTTATGTCGATAGCAGCTAATATTAGAACCGGATCATGTATCGTAGTGGGTACGAACTAGAAATAAGTCGTTCTTGGCCTATATTGTTTTTTTATTAAGACTGCTAAAGATAATCACGGAAATCTCAGTCAGAATACACAGCGATGTGGCTCATGCTCCGTTACAATATAAATTAATTATACTTTAGTAGCCCAGGAATGCATAAAGAATTTCTATATAATACATTTTACAGCTCTTAAGATATAAAGAGCACAGTCGTAGAATTGAGCATCTTATTAATTCAAAGTAGCCTGTATAAATAATGAAATTTCGCCTTGTATACTATTCTAAATTTCTCAGTTACTTTGTCTTCGTATTGTCTAAATATTTTCCTGTGTAATTTGTTTCAGTGGTAAATTATGTTTTATCGAAATACGAGACCACGTTTTAAACCCATACAAAAAGTTGATTACTAATGCAGAGTTGTTAAAGGATGTATAAAAAATGTACAGTGACAAGAGAATTAATTACTATTTTGTCCCCCAAATGTCATACGAACTGCTCCCCCGATATCTCACGCTCAGTTGAATAAGAAGGTAAATTCTCAATGCAAATTCCCTGAGATAAAAGAGTTGTTTTGTACAGCAACAAGGTAAGACAAACCCTTCTCCACTTTCTTATTCCTTGAAACAAAAGCATGTGCTCACAACCTTGTTCGAAAGCCTCAGTTTTATTAAGTATTGGAAACGTAAGCCGGTGTCTCGTATGACACTGGTGCGCCGAAGAGCTATGGTCTGAGCACTACACCTGAAGGCTTTGCAGTGGTATCAGATGTCAAACGGCTTGTCGACAGATCAAATTCGGTTTCGTGGCCTCTTTAGGTTCTTCACGGCCGGTATCCTAGACCTGATAACCAAGAGCTGTCTCTATAACTAATGATTCCAGCGAACGCCAATGAGTGGTTATGTAAACCAACTTGCTGAAATCTTAAACCTACCCAAAGTGTTTTCTATATCATTAGTTCTATGCACGACCTACGATATCCTTTTTCTTTGAATAATTGAAACTGCTATTGAACCTTCAGGTGAGAGACGCGGATTATTATTGCCTGTTACCTTACGTTGTATTGATTTAAACAACAGAATAGCTTCCGGTAAGAGACAACCAAATTGTCTTTGGATAGGGTCAGTGTGGAGAGAGATAAATTTAAAGCGGAATAAGTAATTTTAAAACAAGATTTTGACTTGAAATAAGGTTAGAAGCGTTAGTGATTTTAAAGCAGAATATCGTCTCAGTAGCCCTTATTGTTGTAGTCTGGTCGATGTTAACCAACGTTTCAGAGGTCGTACTGCCTCCATCATCAGAGTATGAAGATTTCTGTCTTCTGGGTTGTTGCGCTGTGTAGTCTGGTCGATGTTAACGAAAGTTTCAGTGGTCATACTGCCTCCGTCATCAGAGTATGAAGATTTCTGTCTTCTGGGTTGTTGCGCTGTGTAGTCTGGTCGATGTTTACCAACGTTTCAGAGGTCATACTGCCTCCCTGATGACGGAGGCAGTATGTTCTCCGAAACGTTGATAAACATCTACCATACTACACGTCGCAATTAGTGAACAATGGAATGGACACGAATCTGTGTTGGCCAAATTTAAATTACTATCCTAGTTCTTGAAGGAACTTAAACACTTCAGGCAGAATAACTTCTTTCAAGACCGAGCTTTAAACCCAGGACCTGCCGAATACGAAGCGTTTGTGCTAACCATTCGATTGTGTCGTTGAATGAAACTTAATCGCATTTTATAACGATCATATTGTTAAATATGTGATTTAAGTGGATATGTTTATGCCTGAGAGCAAAGTTTCAGTCACAAGAATAATTACTTTGTTGTATTATATCTGCACTAAGTACTTTTAAACCACAACATTTCCGGAGTTCGTTCTAATTCGGTTTTCATGTGACCATTGGGGAGAAAGAACTTAATTTTCTGAGCCCCCTGGCCGAACTATAATAAACCTAGAACGTATAGCCTTACTCTTTAAATACCAGATTCATAATTTCTACAATATTTTTATTTTCATTTTATCTGTTCATCAGATACTTCAACGAAAGTCATATGTAAATATGCTTTGTTATAATTTTCCTATATTAAAATAAAATTTGATTAGATTTAACAGGCTGAGAAGTTAGGGTCAGGTTACAGGTTCCTGTGAGCATAATAATATTATTTTAGGTTACATCACCTGAAAATGGGGGCACAATCAGCTACCGAAACGTAGTAATACCGAATACGAGGCACAGTCGTTATAACCCTTCAGGAATATGTCACGTACTGAAAATAATGTCAGCAACATATAACATGCTTCACATTACAGAACAATACATGGGACTATCACAAGTTAATTAAAATCATCACTGCAACATTAAATCTAATAAAACACATGTACTGACAAAGAACTCACAGATTGATGCAGAAGTTTTCCCTATGTGCAAACTCATTACCATATTAAATGCTCTGTAAATTGCAAAAAAGAAAACCAGACAATGAGTACCAGATATGATGGGGTACACTGATTCATTTCCGTCTACACAAATAACCCCCCACCCCCCCACTTCTCGTCTATCGTTTCCCATTTGCCGGTCTACCAATTTATCAGATTGTACTTACGAATTCCAATATTTCCATTTAAAAATCGAATATCGAATCATTCTGCTAATTTTGCTTCATTTAACCATCCAACCATGCTTTAACAGCAAAGCTGAAATTCTGTTTAAATTATGAACTAATTTTCAGCGGATATTTTAAGATTTATGAAAATGTATTTATGATGGCGGACTGTTTAAACATTCAGATGTTACGGTAATTTAAGAAAAATAAAATATATTAATTCGCAAACAAGAAGATTTGAAGTATTGAAGAAGTAGAATAGAGGCCAACACGAAGGCTTATCAAACATGTAGGGCTTCATTCGAATCACTAATACCTTTAAAAGTTATAATTGTAAGTGCAATAATAGTACAGATTCCTCCTGTAAAGCTGATAGTCATACATCTGGTAAAGAAATTCTGTGTCTGTTAAGGAACGCAAGTAACATATCGTGTGTACAAAAACCCGCCACTGAACCATTTATTGAGCCAAACGCATTTGGTCTACCGTTCACATCTTATTTTCATAAGACTTGTTTTAATTTTGACTTTTGTTATATGATTAAGACTATAGAGTGCCAATTAAATTGCATCTTACATCGTCTCTACATCCTAAAACAGATGGTAAGAAAAATTTTGAAAATTTTCTCAAGCATTTTCTTAAAAAAAATAAAGTAGGTTTAAATGTCAAAAGTATACTTTATATTTACATTTTAATATCGTTATAAGAAATACGATATATGTTCGCAATATTTGTTCATTTTATACTAATGACAGCTGTCCTTATGCTTAATTTCATAGTACTGAATGGAGCCTAAAAGTTTCTTTTGTAGTTTATTTATTTATCCTAATTTCGAACACATAGTTACAGAGTTACAAACTTGCACATATTTTATTTCCTTTGATTTTGTGAGAACTAAAATTAAGTGAAAATTTCCTCAACCTGTATAGTTGCATTATTTTTTTGTATCGGAGTTACCTAGGTTCAGATCATGGGCTTCGAAAGTTAAAATATATAATAGTTTCTATTGCTCTAAGTATGTATGGAAAAAACTAGCTTCAAAAACTATCAAACAATATTATAATGATGAAAATCAGATGATCGGGGCACGAGAAACGAAAGGAAAATTGCTCAGGAAACTGACAGGATGAGGTCGTGCAGGAGATATTGCTTTTAATAAGAAAATAATATTGAGATACCTGTTGAAAGTAAGGTAAAAGGTGGTGTACTGGACTCAGCTTACTCCTAATTAGGTCCATCTGCGAATCTTTTAGACAAGGCAATAAACTTTCGAATTCAGTGAAAGTCGAAAATTCTTGGCAAACTGAGTGACAGGCAGTTTGTAAAGAATGGCTCTGCTGCATATAAGTAAATCTGTTAGCTAAAAAACATACTCAGTTACTTTTACTTACGTATAGACAGTGTCGAATCGCATTCATTTCACCAAATAAACGAAAATGTTCATTTGAATCCTGCTTAAACGATAATAATATTTATCTTAATAACCCCATCTTTAATTCCCTTCAAATGCTTAACCCCACCCCCAACAACCACCTTTCACTTACCATCCCTACCAACAACCACGATCAATAGCGAACTCAGTTCAGTTCAAATACAATAATACTTCCAGACACATCGGAACTTATCTACACCTCTCATCTTTGGTATGTTCAAATTTTACTTTCAAATATATTATTTTGTTTCTATCTTCTTTATTCATATTCATTAATATTCATTTGTTCTTTAAATTATTCGCATTACAGGCCGATGTAAGAACATCAACAAAAATATTCACCAACAAAAAAGTTTATTTAAACACGACGCACATATGTAAAACAACTTCAAATATATAAAAATGGAATCTGGAAGTTAACTGATAAACAACTATAAAAAAGTTGCATATAAGAAATTACGATTAAGTTTTAAGTTTATATAATTTTAATTTTTATACACCTGAAGATGGTTCATTTAAGAACCGAAACATGTCGTAAGAAAAAGATGTTCTAACTGTAAATCGAATGTTTCAATAAGGAACATCACATGATATTTTAATTATTTTAATTTTAAATTTTAAATTGTAAATAGACGGACAAGATTAATTAATTAAATATATATCTTCACAATATGACGCAACTATACCAACTCTTGCCTGGAAGTTGAAAACATGAACGGAAAACTAGCATAGTAAATGATGGTTTTACCAGTAAATATCAAGCCTACCATCTGATTCGTTTGCACAATCCACAGTTCACAGATTACACTCCCAGAGATGGATCGGTTAGGAGAAAGATGATACCCACTCTTTTGGCAGCACTCGGCTGCTGGTTTGCTAAAGAGGGCGGAGAGGATAAAACGAAGTCGATGGCCCAGTTCTGCCTGACGGTCAACAAATTCTATCGCTGCTTCACAATTTCCCTCTTTCATCGTTTATCATTACTTCAAATATCTGGATTTCAGCAGCTGACTATAAACGAGTAAACAGTGAAGTTACAAATTGTGAGTTTCCGTATGGATTGTTCAGCTATGTCTTCGAGAATAAGTGAGTAACATTCATAATAAATATAATTTCTTCGGTTAGAGGAAATAGTAAGAGAAGAACCTAGGAGAAGTAGAGAAATATTAATAATATCATCAAGAATATCATATTAATGTCTTCCAATTCACAAATCACTGCCATGGTTAACCGCGTGTGAATATTCTTTTCTACATTCTTCTGTTCTTTGTTTACTTTGACGCCGGTAACCAATGGAGCTACGCGTGCAGAGCACTTTACAACCCACGACCTCAGCTCCCATTTGACAACTGAACTGCCTCTGGCATAGTATTTATAATACTTAGAGTTTTATCAGAGCCTAACAGATGTCCCCAAATCCTTTTCACCAACCTCTAGAATGTTCAATTATTTTCGGAAACTAGCCCGGAAGTTACTGAAGAATGGTGAAGCCTGGAAGGTCTGCGCGGCGAGCGGGATCCAGACGAATAGACATTCGATCTCAGCACATAAGCCCGCGACGACAATAACACAGCTCGACATAACAGGGGGTCAGTTCAACAGCTTAGTAATAATAATTCCATTGAATTCTTTATTTAGTTAAATGGCAAATTACAAATACGAAAAAAACAAGAAAATATTAAATACAGCATAAAATAAATATATTTAACGACAATATAGTTATTATAAATAAAATTAAACATACACAAAAATTTTTACACAAAAAAAATTGTTATTTTAACACGTGGATATAAAATGTAAGTGTAATATTTACTTAATACGTCATTATCTTTGTAAGTTATGTAACCGGCTTATAGCTCACAACCAGTAACGTGTGAGGTACGAAGGCATGTAGAAAAAGACTGAAAGAACTATTAACATTAAAATAAATTTCATATACTTGAAGCTGAGAAGAAACTGAAAGATATATGAAATCAAAATATAAAATTAAATTTCCAACAACGTTTTTCGACTTTGTAAATGCGTGTTGACAAAAATCCAATCTGAAGTAAAAATAATAAAAAACATGGCCATATATAATAAATTGAAAAACTTTTGAAAGATTAAGAATTAATATAGGTATACAATTGGTAACAGATGTTGCCTCTTTTAAAATCACGAACAACATTGCGTATTTTTAACATTATACAATGAACAAGATTAAAAACCCAAAATTAAAGATTTTATTAAGTAATATACGATGTCGATACGAACAGTAGAGATTTGTTTCCATGGAATAGGAATTGTTGCTTAGGTATGTTTTGATTAAAATAAGTTTCTGTACAAGTAAAAAAAACCTTTCGACAAGTATTTATAGCTGAAGCGGATACAGAATAAAGTCTAACATATTTAGACCGTCTAGGTGTCTTAAGACTTTACATATAACCGAATTAGAAACAGGTGCTTACGATAAGAAATTATGAGGTTTATAATAAAGAGAGAACATTTTCTAAGTGCGAATACTTTCAAACTGCTTAAAAGTGCTTATCAAAATTCTGAGCAACTTCAAGGGATTTGAACAAAAGATTCCCATTATCGTCAAGCTGAATGGAAATAATATTATTTTTTATAAACTTAATCACGTACCTGTAAATAATGTTTAGTTTACTATTTGAGGTTTACTTTCATATATGTAAACTCATGAAAATCCGTCAGACGCAGAATTACCTTACATAAGCTTTCGACAGCAAATGTCAAATTTTACAAGAGCCACGGAGAATATCGTGGTCCATAGCTGTGAACGGTAGCATCGACAGTGGTTACACTATACATACAATTATAATGAATACTAAAAACTTAGTAATTAGTAACCTCATAAATTAAATCTCCTTTAACAAAAATCACGAGTCATTTGAGTTATCGAAATTCACACCAATGGTATTAATAAAAGAAGGATGACATTCGTCATTCTGTACCATGTTATCATCAGTTAATGTGATACTAATTACCAGGCTATCAAGCAACCAAGTCAAGTTCATTGTCATTACAGAGAGATATATTACACCAATAATTAAATTCATTTATTAAAGTGTTTGCCAACAGCAGGGAGACAATGACAGGCAAACACTAATAAGACATACAAATAATAATAATTTAATTCAATTCAATTATAATAATAAAGTAATAATAAAATAATAAAACATGTTACAAAATACAAAAGCAAAGAAATTAATCTAAATATATAAAAGTACCGTATTATGTATAAGAGCAATTATAAGAAAAACTCAAAAATAAAAATCAATATATGATACAAAAAATAAAAACGAATTTAAAAACATAGTACAGGTAAATGGGCCATATAATATGCCTAAGAGAAATACACTCCATATTAAAGATATCGATGCTCTATATTAATAGATTTTTTTGTAATATTTGTGCTAGCATTGGTTAATTGGATTATGCTGGCTCAGAACAGGAGCCAGGAACAGCCGTGTGTGACCTCAGTGTCAAACTTAAGCTGTCGTATGAAACACAGTGCCTTCACTTCCCGTAACTTTGTCATACTTGAGTTGACATTATTAATTATCATCTGTCATGTGGACCTCAGCTGTATAGGAGAGTGTTGAGGAAAGATTTCTGTACAAATTTCTCCTACCTATCATGCATTGCACATGTCCTGCCTTATCATTCTTATTGATTATATTATCCTATAAATATCGTAAGAAGGGTACAACTTAAGCTTTGTGTGGTTTATTTAACGACGCTGTCTATAGCTCAGACTATACGGCTTTGAATATTTATAATATTACTTAATAATAAATTACAGAGAATATGGAACAAATTTTCGTGGTATAATTTAATATACCATCCTGGCATCTACCTGGAAGAACTGAGGAAATTTACAAAGTTGTCAGATGTGATAGTTGGTCTCCGAGACATGATTGCAGCTCGGAACCTCTGGAATTCGAAGTAGTAATGATATTACCCTCAGTCAGGATAGTGACTAGCTACGGGCTGGATGACCGGGGTTCGATCTCCGACGGGGGGGCAGAGGATTTTTCCTCTAGCCTCTGCGTCCAGATCGGCTCTGGGGCCCACCCAGCATCGTATCCAATGGGTAGCTGGGATTAAGAACGGCCGGGGAGTGAAACTGACCACTCGCCCTATCTAGTGTCGAGGTTAAGAATGAATAGAAGCTATAACTACTCTCCCCCCAAGCGACCTACATGGCGTATAGCGGGACAAACTTTACTTTACTTAATGCTATTACCCGGTCGCGACAAGGAACCTATTTTAAAGTAAAGATAAGTGAATTGATAGCAAATACCGCGGAATACACGTGAATAAAAGGCGTGAATGTGAAACCCTGTACATTTTACATCACAATATTAGGTTAGGGGAACCACCGATTCCCAACACAAATATAGACCGCAGAGAAATTTTAAGATGGTGAAGAGACAACCTCGTCGATCGGTTGAATTAGTCCAATAAATCGTATAGTTTTTATATACACAAGAAGACGTCATTTATTCTAAACCTATCCGGTTCTTGTCAATGGTTTTCCCAAGCCACGTGAATGCCACAAGTTAGGAGCTAATTTGAGAAGAGGAATGACAACTTTGAAGGGAGGAAGGAACATTTCACGAAAATATCAACGCTTATGACGGCATATATTCAATTTTTGAAAGTTCTGTCAAGACTGAAAAAAAAAAGATGTGGAAGTTTCCGCTTCATCGGTAGGTCCTGAACACGCCCAACGCCAATAAACTCGACGCGGAAGTGCCATCTGGCTGTCATCGCCGTCGTATTCACTGTTTATCAGACTGGCACAGGGACTTGAGAAGCTGAAGGTAAGAACAACTACTTAATGAAAAATATGTTTCAAACGCACAGCTGTAACATGCAGTGGAAATTCGGTTGTGTCGAAAAACGAAAAACTTCACTATATTTATTATTTCTTCCAATGAATAATGACCATGACTGTGATAATAATGATAATGGTAGCAGTTTTTCCTACTTAATTCTTGAGTAATTTAATTTAAGTTATATATATATATATGTCCACAGGAGAGACCTAATCGAGACGCTATTATTGAATCACTCAAAGAAATTGCCCGCATTTCAAAGAATCTGAAAATTAATTACAGTGTACACGTGCAAATTATTAAGCTTTACATTATCCGCTAGCCTGTGACTTTCTGCCCCAAGATTCAAGCCGTGTTTTCCTCTTCTCAAATACTGTGAACTAACGTTTTTCCTTCAGGGTAATAAATCCGGTTCTACATCCGAACAAAAGCTACTCTTACAGTTCTGCGTATCTTGAAGTATTTTTTTGTTGTTCAGTGTGCAAGATTACTTACCGATTACATCAGCAACTGGTTTATTCTACTTAAGAACATGCCCTTAAGGA